ATGTTCGGATGGGGAGCAAGTGCTAAAGTGAGTGTATACTTTGAAATTGACGATTTCCGGTTTTGGGCGTCGAGTTGACATCTTGACAGACCATTTGAACTACTGTTGTAGCTGTCACGAAAGTTTCGAATTTCAGAAATCGACCTGTCAATCTTGTAGTAGTACTATGTTCCAGTGCCTAGTACTACTATGAAGTCGACTACCCCACCCACGCGCTAATACTGCGATGAGCCCAACCTGAGGTCTGACTGAGGCGTCGCAACGCAAGGCTTGACCGAGACATCGTAACGTACAGACTGTAGTCGTCGAAGTTCATATACAAGCCTACCAAATCCGAGGCAGTCCAGCTTTTAGATAGGAGATTCCCAAACACAGTTGTGATGATGTGGTCCTGTCACATAGTACTTGCAATATATATATGGCTCGCAGTGAAGTGCTTGGACAAGGCCGCGTCAGTGGAAGTGCAGTGGTCTGGGCCATATCACACGTGTTTCTTGCTTGTCGTGCGTGTCTTACAAATTCTCGTCCATCCAGCAACTGCGTGCCTTCGCCCATGACAATGTACAGCCACCCTTTCTGGATGTTTCAGCGTCAAAGTGAATCACACTACTCCTTAACCGAGTTTGCTTGGAAGGATGCAACGATACTAACGTTAGTTTTGTATTATCATCAAGGCCACACGCAGCCCCACGTGTCGGATTTGGGTAGCTTTCTGCACACGGACGAGACAGGAGCCACACATAGTCCCCAGTTGCCGTCGAAACTTCGCAGTGATGGGGTGCAACCGTCCACGGCAGTAGCCCCCGCTTGAGGACATCGGACTGCAGTGGGCATCGCCCCCCGTCCACTGCACGCAGGCCCCTTGATGCAGTACACTGCGTCGTTCAGAACACTCACTTGGTCACAGGACTGGCCCTTGGGCTGGTGGTTACTCGACGTGTCTGAGAAGGGGGACTTGGGCGAAGGTCCAGTGAGGGACCCTGACGAGGAACCCATGGCTGGCGACGGGGGGAACTCCGATTTGAGTGCCGCGGGATTGGCCTCCAGTGCCACCACAGTCGCAGCAACAATGGCCGAGATCATTAAAGCAAAGTTGGTCATATCGATGTTCGGATGGGGAGCAAGTGCTAAAGTGAGTGTATACTTTGAAATTGACGATTTCCGGTTTTGGGCGTCGAGTTGACATCTTGACAGACCATTTGAACTACTGTTGTAGCTGTCACGAAAGTTTCGAATTTCAGAAATCGACCTGTCAATCTTGTAGTAGTACTATGTTCCAGTGCCTAGTACTACTATGAAGTCGACTACTCCACCCACCCGATAATACTGCGATGAGCCCAACCTGAGGTTTGACTGAGGCGTCGTAACGTACAGTACATAGCACTCTAAGTCGATATTGAAGCCCACCAAGTCGGCCATTGTAAGGTTAGCGTAGTTGCTGGGGCGGACTTGATAGTCGAACTAAGGAGAAGCACTCGAAAATACAGTAGTATCGTTCCTAAGATGGACAGGTGAACGCTGAGACTGCCTCCCTTTGGTTGATTCTGGGGCTTAACTGCGAGGGTTCTCATCTAAAAGGTCAAACAAGTATAGTGTCATCAATATACAATGTGACTCGTGTCGACTTCGCTTGCTATATATAGATAGCCCTTGTTCCAGCCTTGGATATGGCCGCCTCCTCTCGGTTCAAGGACACCCTTCCGTCATACTATTCGCAATCCGCACGTCGAAAGTCTCTCGACGCTCCTTCCACCACACCTCCCCCTTCTCTAGTCAACAGCGCAGCAGACCAAACAGCTCCTTTCCTCGTGATCGGCACCAACTCGCCCCCTCCTCCGACCCATTCCATCGTAATCAAGAGCAATCCTGTGACGAATCAACCGGCCCTTCCAAAGCGCCCCCGTCGCCCCACCCGTCCGTCCCTGTCAGACCAACTGGCCACAATTGGGCTGCAAGCTGACTCGTTGGTGAAATCGCTGACCAAATCGAACTCTAACCCCCCGAGTTCTACGTCGTTTACGCTGCCCACGCTAAGTTTGGTGGTGGGGCGAGTGGACTGCAAGTTTCCCTCCCCCGCTACTTTTTCCAAGTCCGAATGCCAGTTCCAGTTCCTTCTTGGGACAAGGGATATTGCCATGCACATGTATTACCACGACATGGCGGACGTTGTGTTTGACAAGCGCGCCCTCACGTAAGTTACGTAGATGCGTAGGGACTACTAGTAGTACTACTAGTGACTGTACCTCGTACGACGGTGTAGCCTGCGGTTTAAAATTGGCCATCCGTTGGCCGAGTTTGGTGCCGACTACGACTTTCGGAATCGCAACCACGCAATTGTGATCGGACTCGCGTCCGTGTCCGACTGGACCAAAGCCAAGGCGATCGTGCTCGCAAATAGTAGTACTAGTAGTAGATAGTAGTATAATACAACGTACTTACTGTTAGTACCGGTAGTTAACAGTTACTGAACCACGTAGTCGTAGCTTCCCCTCGGACATCATGTCACGCGCAAATGAATAGCCAAACCAGTTTCATTGACAACACCCAGCGCAAGCTTGTGGTCATTGTTACTCTAGTACAAGTACTCTAGTATACTATAGTAGTGAAACGTTAGCAAGTACTAGTACAGTGAACTTGAAAAAAACTCGCAAGAGTTGTACTCGAAAAATAGTATTCATCTGACCTATGTCGAAGTAATGACGACAAGCGAAAATACTAAAGCAAATCAAAACCTTAGTCTATGATTGGCTGGGAAATTTATAGCACTGTGATTGGTCCGATTTGATAACACCCAAGGGTTTGAATTTTGAATGCCGACGGCAATCCTCCCGCAGCGCGTCCAAAGGCGCTACACTATCGATGCGAGAGTGAAACTCCTCTTGGCCTACGAGAGCACTAACATGAGCGCCAATGCAATTTGTGCCCTTGAAGGGATTCCTCGCTCCACGTGGCAAACATGGCTCAAGAAGAAGGACGACTACATCAAAACCCAACGAAACAAGAAGCACCCTACCCTTGGCGGTCAAGGAAGACCTGTGACGATGAAGTTCGGTGAGGAGCTCCTAGCTTTCATGAAAGCAGTGCGCAAGGACAGCCATTTCCTCACGACGGCACACATGGTGACCTGGATCAAGAATCATCAGCACGAGTGGTTGGAGGCGTACCTCGCTGCGAAGGGTGACCGAGGATACCTAACTCTCTTGGGACAATGCCAAAGATTCGCGCATCGACATGGCTTTTCGCAACGTGTTCCTTGTTACTCCAAGTTGAAGCGAGCAGAGCTGGAGGAGGTCAAGTTGGCGTTTGCATCGTCGTTTTGGACCAAGTTCGAAGATCAGCCGCTCCGGGACATTGTCAATGTCGACGAGACCGCAGTCTATTATGACATGCCCCCACGACGGACATGGGGCGAAATTGGAGAAGACGCCAAGGTCTGCTCGACGGAAAAGCATTCCGACCGCCTGACAGCAGTAATGTCAATTTGCGCCGATGGTATGTAGTTGCACTGAACTAGCCATCGTTTAGTACTGAAGAATTGTTGTATTTAGGAACGAAGTTGCCAATTTTGTTTATCCTTCGCGGCACGCCTGGTGGGCAAATCGAGTCGGATGAGTTTTCCCATTACCCTGACGGACATATCTATGCAGTCCAGGAGAATGCCTGGATGGATGAGAGCACTTGGCTATTCTATCTCCAAGAACTGTTGAAGTACGAGCTGGTGGGACCTTCAGTCATCCTCGTGGACAACTTGTCGGCGCATGTTTCCTACCCGTCGCGCAAAACGGTGGATGATGAGCTGTATGGTTTTCTGGAACCGCTTCCACCAAATTCCACGAGTGTCTGCCAACCCCTCGATGTAGGTGTCATGGGTCCGTTGAAGGCGAAGTTGCGTGCAAGGTGGCTCCTCGAGCGTCCTGTTGTAACTGCTGCAGAAAAGAGAATGAAAATGATAGAGAGAACAATTAGTGCATGGGAGTCGATTAGTGAATCGTCCGTGAAAAGGTCTTTTGAAAAGGCACTTCCTAGGATTTTTGAGCTTTGACGACGATAACCGAGCTGTGAAAAATGAATATTTTTGGTATCAACATTGCCAATCAAATGAGTTTAAAGTTTCAGTCATCATACCACGTCTTGCAACGTCAAAAAAATATCCACACCCACTATTGGAGACTATATACAAATCCCAATATATTTATGAGTGCAACCCTTGCGAGTTTTTTTTAAGTTCACTGTACTAAGTACTAAGCATACATACTACAGTACGTAAGTTACAGTAGTACCATGGTACTAAAGTAGTACTACATACTACGCCGTGCTATGCTTAGTACATACTAGTAGTAGTCTACTTTTCACAGGACTTATCCATCGATAACGTTAGCATAAAGTTTAGTAAGACATCGCTACTGTACTACTAGTACGATTGAACAGCTCAATATATTACTCTGGTTTTGGATTAGTGTACCACATCATCATCTACCGTACAAGGTACGTTGTGGATTTCCGTGTGCACTTGGTGCAACTGACTGAGGACCCAGTCGGCACTTGGTCGTTTCGAAGGCGGGTACTGAATGCACTCGTGAATGATACGTCCGATGGCGGCGGGGCTCGTTGGACTCAGGTGGGGGCGGATGGTGCCGGTGGTGATGCGCAGCAGCAGATCGTGGAAGTTCATGGTCGCTTGCTCCTGGAAGAACGGTACGCGGCGGGTGTCTAGCTCCATGAGGACAATTCCCAACGAATACACGTCCACTTTCTGGGTCATGGGAAGGCCCTGGAGCACTTCAGGTGCGTTCCACACGTTCTGGCTCTTGTGGGTACTAGGGCTCTGCATGCTAAAGCCGAACCCGGACACTTTGAGTTCGTTCGACGACGAGTCGATGTACAAGTGGTCGGACTTGAGGTTCCCGTGCAGCACTTGGGGGGACAGCGCGTGCATGTACACGAGCGCCGACGACAGCTGGAGCGCGTACGCCAAGTTCAGGTCGGCCCACGTCATGCGGCCGTCGTTTGGAAGCGACAGCATCCGCTGGAGGGAATATCCCGAGATGTACTCGCTGACGCACACAAGGCCGGCGGCCAACGTGATGCTGAACCCGAGGAACTGGACGATGTTGGGATGGCGGAGGCGCGACGTGAGCTGGATTTCGGCGACGAGCAGCCGCCGACTCCGACTGAGTTTGTACGAGGATGCGTTCTTGTTTAGCCGTCGAAGGAATACCGTCTGGCCTCCATCAAGCCGGCCGCGCTCGGCGATCATCGACGACGACGGAAGAAGCGCCTCCACGGTGATGTCGGCGGCGTCGATCCAGTGGTCGTTCTCGTACGCTCGGAGGTCGTCGTACTCGAACGAGTGGAACGTGACAAACTTGTCGGGAGATGTGTCGAACACGTCGTGCACTTCGCGCTGGAAGTTCTTGAGCTGACCGAACATGCGGCGGACGTTAGAGCTGCGCACCGGGCGGTTCATCGACGGTTCGCGACGGAGGCGTTGGGGGGGAGGAGCGTTTGGCTTTATCAAGGCCGTCGGAGATAATTCCTTGTCGGGCTCTGCGGCGACGTCGTTGTCTGCAGCATCAGGCGTAGACGTGGTGCTGACAGCTGGATCGTCGTCGGAATCGATGTCGTTAAGGACATCGGACGAGGACGAAGGACGCATGGTTGCATGAGCACCAACGGTGATGGTAGGTCGGAGAGGAGTTGCCGGTGGCAGCTGCGGGGGGTGGTGGTGCTGCTGCTGTGCCGCATCATCAACGGATGGAGGCTGCTTGGAAGAGCATTGGCCCATGACAAATGAAGACGTCGACTGACGTCGTTGCCATCGTCCGTACTGTACGTGCTAGTAACTTGGTTGCACACTTGTGCTGACCGCACGTTATCCGGAAATGTATCCTGAAAAATTCAGGGAAAACATCCCAAGAATAGGGATTGTGGGAACTGTAGTAGGCATATTTGAGGCAGAACAACTTTAATAGTGTGAATTGGTATATATGGACCAGTGTTTCTGCAAATATGATTCCCCTATGAGTGTGAACCACCGCATCAAAATGATTCATAACGTTCACGCTAATGATATACGTGGGCGCAGTTCCGTGACAGCTTGGTTCCATGCCACGATATGTGATTGGTAGAAAACAATCACTTTAAAAATTTCAACCAATCACGTGCAATTGTTTTTGCGATTTGAGAGGTAACTGGATAAAACCAAGCAGCTCGGAACAGTTTTCAGCCTAACGCGCCTAACGTTATGGATATTTTCACTCTTTACTAGTAGTTCATTTACAATCAACACCAATACGAATTTTTGACATGATTTTAAGTCCAACGAACTGTATTGATTCTCCTCTTTACACTTATTAATACTACGTACATCGAAGTAAGAAACACTACTATAATACTCCGGAGTAGCAATTTGGGATACTACTCCCTCCGTTCCAAAATAATTGCGCGAGTTTCAGGAGGGTGTACATGACACCTCATTATATTTCGAAGGTAAATTGGAAACCTGGTGTCGCCTGCCTGGATTCGAAATGCGTTGCTTTGATTGGATCATTACAACTAGCGTA